ATTACCTGAGTCATGGACATGAACCACAAAAAATAACATAGGACGCAGCCCATGTACGCTTATCTGCCAACGTCACCGAGGAAAGATAAAAAAAATCCGCGACCTAAAATTAGCAAATGAGTTAGCTAAACCTAGGGCTGGGTGTAAATACCTGGACGCCGCCACACAGCCAATACTGACAGGCTATTTACACGGAAGAGAGTGGCATATAACGAGAGCTGTGAGCCAGAGTATTCAGTCGCTGAAGATAGGAACGCGATACGACTACCAGAAGCGCCAGGCACCCAATAAGCTAGAAATTTCCATCTCAGATCTACGACTTTTTGTCGACATATATTCCGTGTTGGTATTGGTAGTATCACAAACGTCTAGGACTACCGGTTTAGCTGGAAGACACAATCGGACGAGGGTGTTCTGTACAGTAGCTATATACTTTTACGATCCCCCAACCCAGAATTTGACGGATTTACTTTTCTGCAAAATGCTTTAATGAAAAGGTAAGCGATAGATGTGCACAAATTAGCGGTGCCAGAAAAATTACTAACGCAGGCATGTTCGTTTCTATTAAAACTCGAATAAAAGGTTTGAGTACGTGCACACATGTACCTCGGGCGCGGACAGACGATTGGCTGTGCTTATTTCTTTTTCAGCGACTATGCCCATTGCCCGCACCAGACGAGTTATCAACTCGGACAATAGACTGGGGCCTGTGAGGAGGGAACAGAAAGTGAGGTCGATGTCTCAGCCCATTGTTCTCATTAGACAATCGGACGCCCTCGAATTTATTACAATGCACTAAAAGCTGTGGCTTGGGAAGTCGGGGACCAGGGAACAACTTGGACTTCACGGAGTGACCGACTAGCGGACTGAGAGTCAGATTGCAATGGCCTCTTCTTAGTGGGGCTTATATGACCCTCCCACAAGTTGGATTCGAGTTGGTGTGGCGACCTGCTTATGTGCGGGATCTTGCAGCGCTCACCACCTGTGGTCTCTCCCGCCTCCGGCATTCTTGACTTGGTCATAACACCAGGCCTATATGGTGCGGTAGGCGCAGCAAGTCTGCTGTCATCAAAGACCAAATCAGGCGCAAGTCACTGCACTCTCCGTGCTGTAGGGCACAGGGTGGATGTTGTCCAAATCGAAAACCAAACTGTCGCATAACAAAATACTCCAATGTAGGACGGGAAAATAAAAACGGTATTAACAATATGCGCACAGAGAATGCTGACAATAGAGAGGCCTTTCCAATATTTGCCGATCAATTTTCTATTAGTTGCCTTCGACTAATTTGCAGTCTCCACAAAATGTTGGGAGACATCCTAGTCAGCATTTCATGAAGAGATACACCGGTATCCACCTTTTAACGTTCTACCACATCTGAATATTTATGCATCCTTGAGCACTTCTTTAGTAAAATCTGACTTGGACATAGCGTTATGGTTTCAATTCCCTCTATTCGAGTTATTTGAAAATGTATATAACGTCATGCTTGACTTCACTTTTTCGAATGAACGAGGTCATTTAGACTGGAGTCAACACCGCCTCTTATGAATCAATCTATAGAATAGAGTGTAATTTTCAGTTGTTCCGATGATTACATTCCTATATTTGGACAATCATCCTGTGAATGAACTTTGATTACATGGAGAAACCACTAGGCGCTTCATTAAGGACTTCGATGTTTTTATCTTAGCCAATCAGCGTACGGAATACTACCCAAATGTGCACAACTCTTACGCCAACATAAAATATGATAGTTAAGGTTACCAGGGACGGATTGTATACAAAGCGGACAAGTCCTAAGCAAAGGCATTTATGTAAAGCCAATGCTGAAAGATCAAGCATGGTCAGAAAGACACTTTTATATTTTCCGGCAAAGGAAAACCTTCAATGGCGTATCATGGCAGTTCCAATTACTGTGCAGCATTGTCAAGATTGCGGTACTAACATAGGGAGGGTTAAACGCTTACGTTCTGCACGAGTCAGCCGCTCTCACAATTATCAGGTATTTTTCGTGTTTTTGTAAGCCACAAATTATAGTGGGTTGCGTTTAAAAGCGCTAGTTCTGTAAGATAGTTTTCTGGACATAACAGCGTCTTATGAATTCCTCAAAAGTCGCTATCCAGCACTAATT